TGGTGGTCGACTGTCGTTGCCCGATTTCGTGTTGGGAGGTTTGTTCGGTGTGGTCCGGGACGGTTTCCTGTGAAAGGAGTTCGAGCTCGTTTGGTCCAGGTCTAGTTAGGCTTGCAGTTTCTAGATCTTGGTTGGACCGTGTTTAACTTTCTGTCAGGAATCATGTCGCTTGATAGTTTTGGATTGTATGCTGGCGATTGAGGAGAGCCTTGTTTTCTTACTTTAGCTTTTAAGTTTAATTTCGTGTGTGTTGTTTTGTGTTTGTGGTTATTTTGATGTATATTCTTCTCTTTGGGTTATGTGAGTGCGTTAGTGTAATTATTTCTAGCTAACTCTGTGTAGGCTTTTTGGATTCAGTTGTTTGACTATTTCTAGCTGCAATTTAATTGTAATTACTTTTTTTTTTATTTATATATCCCGTTTCGAACAAAAGAGAGGAAAGAAAAAAAAAAAAAAAAGAACACTATGTTGTGACAAATAGGGATGGCAGCGGTTCGGTTTCGGTTCGGATATCCGCGGTTTTTGGTTCTGCGGTTTTCGGTTTTGATTCTCAAATTTCACCCACGGTTTTGCGGTTTCGGGTACCCGAAAGTCTTCGGTTTTGGTGCGGATCCTATATTTCGCCCGTGGTGCTCCGTTGGGTGCCCAAAATAGACGGCCCATCAAAAAACCCACCAAAAACCCTAGCTATATAAGTGGAAATTTCCTCTCCCTCTTATCCTCTCCCCGTCTCCCGTGATGGCTTGGCTTAGCTATGTACTCTACTACTTTTATGGCTTGTACTGTACGTTGGTACTTGCTAATTTGTGACTGGTTGCCTGGTACTCTCTAAGTTATCATGTTTTATGTTGTTGTCTTTGGTGTTTTATTATAATATTTTTGGTTTTTTGGGTATCCGTTTGGTTTTTGGGTATCCGCGTGTTTTGGTTTTGGTGAAGGATTTTCACCCGAAACAATTTTGGTTTTGGTTTTGGTTTTTAAGTTTGGGTTTTGATTTTGGGTGCCCTGAGGTTTCATCCGATCCGAACCCGAACCGCTGCCATCCTTAGTGACAAATAACAAAAAATAGAAGTTCTCGGTCATCTTCTAGTTATTCAAAAAACTGGGATTTCTTATGCTGACCAAAAATAAACCAATCGATAAGATTTCTTATCATTGGTTTATGTCGCAGCGCACACACGCTGACACACACACACACAAGATGTCCGATGGATCTGCCGACACCCCACTGCTCCACCCGCACCTCCAGGGGTGGCGCCGCCGCATTACCTCAGCCGTCAGCCTCAAGACCTCCCTCCCATCCGAGCTGAGCGGCGCAGTAGGCGACCTCGGCACATACATCCCCATCGTCCTGGCCCTCACGCTCGTCTCTAATCTCGACCTCTCCACAACCCTAATCTTCACCGCCGCCTACAACATCGCCACCGGCGTCCTGTTCGGAACCCCAATGCCCGTCCAGCCGATGAAATCGATCGCCGCAGTCGCCGTCTCGGAGACGCCTCACCTGACGGTTTCGCAGATCGCTGCGGCCGGAATATCCACCGCCGCTGTGCTGCTCTTCCTTGGTGTCACCGGCCTCATGTCCGTTCTCTACCGCTTTCTTCCTCTTCCCGTCGTTCGAGGCGTTCAGCTCTCACAGGCAAAGTATTCAATTTTCCTTCTTAAGGAAAAAAAAATAAATTATTTATTTATTTTAATTGCAAATGAATTGAAGGGATCCCATGTTTTGGGAAGTTATGAATTTTTGATAGCTGGAGCTTTAAATCGATGATGATTAAGATTGGGAAACAGTGAATTTTTAGAGCTTAATTTGAATCAGGAAATTTATAATGGGGCTTGGGATTTTTTTCTATGAATTTGAATTGTTCATAAAATTTTCAATTCTTGAATTTTCAGGGCCTGGCATTCGCATTTTCGGCAATCAGATACATCCGGTACAACCAAGATTTCACCATAACAACATCAACCAAAACAACCGATCCCCGGCCCTGGCTCGGCTTGGACGGCCTTATCCTCTCCCTCACTTGCCTCCTCTTCCTAATCATCACAACCGGTGATGGAACTTCCAACCAAACCAACACCAACACCAACACACAAAACCCTCGAAATATCCAAAAACGACTTAAGATTCTATTAGCAATCCCATCTGCCCTCATCATCTTTCTCCTCGGCCTCATCCTATGCTTCGTCCGCGATCCATTCATCTTCCACGACTTAACCCTCGGGCCCTCGGGCTTCCATGTGCTCACCATAACATGGAATGACTTCAAGACTGGTTTTTTACGAGGAGCAGTGCCTCAAATCCCATTATCCGTCCTGAATTCGGTGATTGCTGTTTGTAAGCTGTCAGGCGATCTTTTTCCGGGTACCGAATTATCAGCTGCTAAAGTGTCGGTGAGTGTGGGCCTCATGAACCTGGTCGGGTGCTGGTTCGGGGCCATGCCCGTGTGTCATGGAGCTGGCGGGCTCGCGGGCCAGTACAGGTTCGGAGGGAGGTCCGGGCTGTCTGTCGTGTTTCTTGGGCTCGGGAAGTTGGTTATCGGGCTTTTGTTCGGGAACTCATTTGTGAGGATCCTGAGGGGTTTTCCGGTCGGGATTCTTGGGGTGCTTTTGTTGTTTGCCGGGATTGAGCTGGCCATGGCGTCTCGGGATATGAACACAAAGGAGGATTCGTTGGTGATGCTGGTCTGCACGGCCGTGTCGTTAACCGGGTCAAGTGCTGCCCTTGGGTTTGCATGTGGGATCGTGTTGCACGTGGTCCTCAAGCTGCGAGTGATGGATTTTTCGAGCTTGGGTTTTCCGGGAACTGAATCTTCAGGCTCCGGGGCTGGTGGTGAAGACGAGTTGCTCGTTAGTCCCTAATAAGAGTTCACCATAGTTCCCGTTTAATTGTACTGTACTAGTTGTTAACCACGGATTCTTGTGTTGGATAGTATATATACGTGATAAAAAAGGGGCAAAAAAATAAGAAAAGTTGACAATTGAGAAATTGTCTATGCATGTCCTTACTGCCCCAGTAATGCTAAGTAGCCAACAACCAATTATACAGGTCCATGTGAGGCTGTCCCACAGACTTTAATGTGGGACAACCCCACATGGAGCTGTCCCATTGACTGTTGGCTCCGTAACGGAGCCAACAGTTGGCTCATTAGCATTACTGCTTACTGCCATATATATTAATTGAGAATTTTTAGCAATAGTTAATTAACAAAATCATTCAGATCCCTAATATCCCCTCAAATCCCTAAACCCTCTTCTCGCCTGCTATCCTAATCGCAGTGCCTTCCCCAGTGGGGCTCCCGAGGCTCCGGCGAAGGCGTCCTTGTGCCTCGCGGTTCGAGTCCCTTTGGATCGTCGAGAGGTGGAGCGGTTTCAGCGGGTGGAGGCGGTGCTCGTCCCCGGACTAGGTCTCGCCGCGATTCAGGTTGCTACGACGGGGAGGTGGGTGACTGTGTTCTTGCCGGCTTGGTTGAGAATTTCCTCTGGCATTTACCTAGGGTTTGGGTCGTGGCTCCGGTTCTATCTTGGAGGGGACAGGGGTGGAGAGGTCAGCCCCTTCCTTTCATGCATCCCGTTCGTTTTGGGGCTATTCGGAGGGGATGGTCGGCGTGGTCGGCAGTGGGGGAGGCTAATAGGGACCAGTGTGGGCCTAGGCCCACACTGAAAATTAAAAAAAAAAAAAAAGTCATACATATAGCCCATGCAATATTGCCCATACATTAAAAAAAAAAAAAAAATTCTAAATATAAGCCCAAATAATTAAGACTAATATAAATAAAGGCTTTAACAAATAAATTAGCTAATGGTTTTGTAACAAGGGCATGAAGCAATTCAAGAACAGGGGCAAACAAAAAGAGAAAAAAGAAGGGAAAATTGAGAATAGAAAGAGAGAAAAAAGTTAAAAAAAAAAAATCTCAATTTTTAAAAAGAGAAAAAAGAAGGGAAAATTGAGAGTAGAAAGAGAGAAAAAAGTTAAAAAAAAAAAAATCTCAATTTTTGTTTCAATTGTTCGAGAAGAGGACTTGGGAGGTAACGAAATACCTTTATGTTTATATTGTTGGAGATAAAATTATTCTTTTTTAGTTTTTAGGTAGTGACAAATATATTCTTTTTATTTTGAAATTGCAAATTAAATCTCTAAAGTGCTTATAGCTCTTTAAAGAGTGATATGTCAAAATCAAAAATTTCATTGATTGTAATTTATAACTAGTATGTAACCCGTGCGATGCACGGGCTAGTACATGTTTTGGAAAAATTTAAAAAATTAAAAGGTCATTTATCAATAAGTTGTTATAACACGTATGACATTTATAAAGTAAACATAAAATGTCATTAGCAAAAAATTATATATTATTAAAAACTTCCTAAGTGCATATATATCGCCTTGCTTAAATACACCTCGAAATACACACATATGCACAGAACGTATAATGACAGTTATTTGCGCACCCTACAATATGAAGTTATACAAAATAAGTTAAATTAAAAAATTACGTATGTTAGTAATACAGATATAACAAATCAAAATATTACCTAACGATCTTGAAAGATGATCTCAAAAAAATTAATAGATTCCACGTCAAATTTCATCTCAATAATTAGAATTGCTTATTAACAGCATGTAGTGTATCAAATAACTCTCTCATTTTTTTTTTTTAATATTTTCCGAAAGTTCTATGCGTTTTTTTTTTATGGACAGGAATTGGAGAAATTGATAAAATATGTTATTTATATATATAGGAATCAATTAATATTTATTAATTTCAATTAATTTAATTATTGAGAGTGGCTTTTAATTATAAAATTATTGAAAGGGAATTGGATGGTGTAGGATTTTGGGTATTTTATAGGAATGTAAATACTAATCTTTATATCCAACTTTAATTAATTGATGAATTGAAATATTAATATTTATTTTTTTGTTGGCAGACTCCAAAAAAATTGCATAATATGCGGCCACAAAATGTATCTTATGGATTTGTACATTTGTATTTTATCGTGTAGAAGATATAAACTATTTTTGTATTAAATCTGCAAAAGTATAAAACGTGTTGAATAAAGCAAAAACGCATATATGCATTTGGTTCGTATTGATTTAATTTCCTTTTACTGTACGTATTAGTATTGTTTTTTGATTTAATTTCCGATACCTGAACGAATTTGTATTGTTTTTTGATTTAATTTTTCGACATGGAAGATATGATTTCCGTTTTACAATCATCGGCAATTTCTTTTTTACAATCATCGGCAATTTATAGAGTTTTTAAAATATATTTTTTATACTAAACGATTATATATATATATATATATATATATATATAGAGAGAGAGAGAGAGAGAGAGAGAGAGAGAGAGAAAATTTTAATAGATATATAGAAACATGTTTAATCTTTATAGACACAGTTAATTAATCCAATTTATTATAGAAACAAAAATTTATACATGCATAAATTATTAATTTATTACAGAAACACAATTTATAGAAACACAATTAATTAATTTATAGAAACAATTTGTAGAAATGAATCTCCCAAATGTATTATTATATTATTTAATTAGTTCATTAATTGATTAAGCTTATTATTTTTTTAAGCGCATAAAAGAATAAAAAAAAGAATTCGATATTTTATTTTAAACAACAATTGGAACTCAATAATTCAAGCGTGTAAATATTACTTAATCCAAACGAATGAGAGACGTAATATCACGATAACAAATATAATAACACTAAAATTCATAATTCAACGACATGGAATGACAATAAAACATAATAAAATTAATAAACAATAAATATATTAGAAATAATAACCTTCAAGGACATGGAAGAACAATGAAATTTATAATATAAATATATTAGAAATAATTTTGATATTACTAATAAAAATGTTTACCTGTTCATCATGAAACAGTATATGGAATGCGTTCCAGCTCTCCCATTCGTGATGCGCTTCAATTATTCGGACTGCTTTCAATCGCAAATAAGATTTGTTTGTCCTACTCACGGAATCGAATGTATCCCAGACCGGCGGCATTATATTATCGATGTATTTTAAAATTTATCTATATAATTTTTTTTTTTCTCTGAACGCTGTGAATGAAGTGAAGAAATAATCGTGGTAGTGAATATCCTTTTATACAAATTGTTGTTTAGCACGTTGGTACCGAAAAGAGTGATTGATAAAAATTATTTAAATGGAAAGATATTGTTAAGATTTTATCATATAAATGATTTATATGGAGCCTTGAAAGAGGAGATTTTATATGAAGAATTAAAAAGAGGAGATTTATTCCATAGTATATGCAATTAATGTTTGGTGTTTTGTTAATAGAGCCACAAAAAATTGGAAATCTTGGCGTGAAAAAATGATTTATTCCATAAACAATTAATGTTAATCCGAAATAAATAAGAGCATTTTTAGGAAATTATGTGCAATTAATGCTCGTTGTTTTGTTAATAGAGCCACAAAATGATTTGTTCCATAAATAAAAATCAGAAATAATGGCGTAAATGATTTATTCCATAAAAAAATGTATTCCATAAAAAAATTAATGTTAATCGAAAATAATTAATAGCAATTTTAGGAAATTATGTTAATTTACTATTTTTAGGCTATAATTAATGAATTTGGCGGGAAATAGTTTCTAAAATTGAATTATGTTAATTCTTATTATATATTAATAGATATTATTTTTTGTATAACAGAGGTGAAAAAATATTTTCAAAAAAGGCTCCGTCAGCAAAGTGCTTGTGAAAATGTCTCAAAATGAGATATTTTGAATCCAAATAGATTTGAGGGAAATTCTAGTGCCACTGGGCAAAAAGAAAATACGACCGGAAGTTTAATAGTTTACAAACTTTGGCATTAGTTTTACCGGTTACAACAGTTACTGTGGAACGCATATTTTCTGCAGTGAATTCTATATTAAGGATAGATTGAGCAATCGAATTAGTGATGATTGAATAAATGATAAATGATAGACTAGTTTTTGTAGAAAATTAAACCTTCTTGAAAAATGATAATGATGTTGTTATCGAGCTATAGCAGGTCATGAAAACTCGGAACGACTATGAATGTATGTTTTTGTATTTGCACTTTTCGTTATGATATATTATATTTTGTTCATTAAATAATTAGCCCCCCTTGTTATATTTGCTAGATCTGCCCCTGGTGGTCGGGCTTCAGTCCGGGCTCTGTTGCTCAGGGCCTGAGTTGATGGCTTCTGCCGGGGTGGGATGTGGGTGATTCTCTGGGTGCGGGTGTGGGGTGGCTGTCCGGATTCGGGTGGGCTTTTGGTTGGGATCCTGTTAGGTAAGTGTGGTCGTTTCTGGATCAGTTCCTAAGGTCGTGCCTCGATCCGCTTGGATGGTAGTCATTTGGCATTGCCGCAGTTGGCTTGGTGTGGTTCGTCTGCTAGGGAAGGGTGTTTTAACTTTCTTTAGTTTTATAGTGTGTTTGGTTGTTTGTTTTTCTTCTAGTTGTTTTGTGATTTGCTGGTGTCTTTTGGGTGTTTTTTTAGTTTGAGTATGTTGTAGTTGGTGTCTTGTGTTGTAGTGTTTTGTGTTTCTCCCGTAGGGGAGTGTATATTCTCTCGTAGGAGAGTGTGTCTTCTCCCGTAGGGGAGTGTGTTTCTCTCGTAGGGGAGTTTTCTGTTCTCCAATCGTGGAGTTTTGTGTGTTGTTCTATTGTAGGTCTAGGCGACCTTCGGGTTTGTCCTCCCACTAGATTTAGCTCTAAAGATGCTTCTTTCAGCTATTGGGCTGTTTCTAGATGTAATTAATTGTTCTTGTATAAAAGCTCTACCGTTTGAAAAAAAAAAGTAATTAATTAACAAGAATATACAGTTTTACTATAAAGCCAACAGTTGACTCCATGATGTAGATCGTATATTCGAACGGGAAATAAGAACACAAGAACAGATATATATTTTCTCAAATTCAACGATTGCTGCTTTATTCACTGCTCAAAGCCATATATGTACAAAGAGGAGTCCATCTCCTTTCAACTTGCTCAATAGTCCCTACTAATCAACTTAACAAGCTAAATAATAATAATAATAATAATAATAAGCAGCATACAAAATACCAATCAATAGCAATAAATAAAAAGGACACTAAACCCGACAAATTAATATGCTAAATACGAAGTCGGTCGTATTTCGTAAAAATGCTAATGCAGCCTCGTCTCCATCATCCTCCCTCTGTTGGGTAGGATTCACCCTCGAATCCGGTCGGGCCTTGTCTCCCTCAAAATTGTCTCCTGCAAACGGAACTAGGTGTTTGAAGTTAAAAACGTCAGATGTGCGAATATGAGACGACAAGCGAAGACGGTAAGCATTGGGGTTGACCTTCACCACAATCTCCACTGGCCCAATCTTTCGGGCAGATAACTTGTTATACTCGTGGGCTGAAAACCTGTTCTTTGTCAAAACAACCCAAACATAGTCACCTACCTCGAATTCAACATGGCGCCTACGAGAGTCGGCCTGTCGCTTGTAAGCCGCCGTGGTAGCCTCCAATCGAGCCCGAGCAGTCTCATGTGTGGATCGCAACTCGGAAATAAAGTCGGCCGCCTGACGGTCAATAGAAGCCACGGAAGGGAAGACAAGCAAATCCGACGGCCCACGTGGTCGAACAGCATACACGACCTCAAAAGGCGAGTATCCCGTAGCCCGGCTAATGGAAGAATTGTGGGCAATCTCAGACTGGCTCAACTGTTGGTCTCAACTACGAATATTATCGCCCACTAAGCAACGAAGTAAATTGCCCAAAGAACGATTCACCACTTCGGTATGCCCATCCGTTTGCAGGTGGTAAGCACTGCTGAAATCCAACTGCGTGTTCGCCATCCGCCACAGGTTGCACCAGAAATGACTCAGAAATCGAGTATCACGGTCAGACACAATCGAAGATGGACCCATACAGACGATAAACCTCCTGAAAGGACAGCTGCGCCACATGAACGACATCTGTTGTACGCTTGCATGGGATAAAGTGTACCATTTTGGAGAACCGGTCAACGACCACAAAAATAGAATTGAATCCCCGCTGGGTACGTGGTAAACCCAGTACGAAATCCATACTAACCGCACGCCAAGGCTGCGAACGTAAAGGAAGAGGTCGGTATAACCCAACATTTGAAGCAACCCCTTTTGCAAGATGGCAAACGCGGCAGCGCTCCACAAATCGTGCAACATCACGGCAAAGGGTTGGCAAAAAATACGAACGACGAACCAAGGCCATGAACGGTCACGACCGACATGACCAACACCATAAAGGTCTGAAATCAGCTTCAGACGAAGACTACAATCTGGGACACAAAGTTGTAACCCACGAAAAAGAAAGCCATCAGACAACGTGTAGTCTTCAAAAGTTCCCAACGCCAAGTTGTGCACAATCGGGCCGAAAAAGGTATAATCAGCGTACACCTCCCACAAAATATCAAACCCAACAACCGAAATGCACATATCAGACAGAATATGTGCACGCCGACTCAAGGTGTGAGCCACCCTGTTCGAAGTACCAGATCGATGACGGAGAACAAAGGTAAACTGCTGCAGAAAAGCCGTCCAAGAAGCATGACGGGCAGAGATAGCATCCTGGGACGCCAAATGTCGCAAGGCCTCGTGGTCAGTGAAGAGAATAAACTCTCTGTGAAAAAGGTAGTGACGCCAATGCCGTACTGCCTGTACAACTGCGTAAAACTCCACGTCGTATGTGTTGTATCTCAATCTCGGTCAAGAGAGCTTCTCATCAAAATAAGAAACCGACCGACTGTCCTGACTGAGGACAGCGCAATCCCCACCTTGGAGGCATCACAAGAGAGCTCAAATGGTTTTGAAAAATCTGGTAAGATGAGGAAAAGGGCCGATGTCAACTTGCTCTTAATCAGAGCAAAAGCAGCATCTGCTTCAAGCATCCACATAAAAGACTTGCCCGTGAGGCAATCTGTAATCGGTATCGTGATGGTACTGAAGTTAGAATGAAACGTCGGTAAAAAGATGCGAGCCCATGAAAGCTCCGGGCCTCAGTGAAAGAGGTCGGAGTTGGCCAATCGCGAATGGCCGTCACCTTGCTGTCGTCAACACGGATCCCTGCACCCGAAATCACAAAACCCAAAAACATAACAGATTCCACCAAAAAACAATATTTATAGAGAGCAGCAAAAAAGGATTCTGCACGTAGAATAAGAAGTACTTCTCGAACGTGCTGCAAATGCTCCTCCAATGTACGACTGTAGATGAGAATATCATCGAAATAAACGACGACACTCTTCCCGATAAGATCCCGAAGGGGCCTGGTTCATCACGCTCATAAAAGTGCTTGCACATTGGACAACCCAAATGGCATCACCAGCCACTCGTAGAGCCCCTCACGGATCTTAAAAGACGTCTTCCACTCGTCACCAGGTCAGATCTGAATCTGATGGTACCCGCTGCGGAGATCCAATTTGGTGAAGATAGTGGCTCCGTGAAGTTGGTCCAGTAAGTCGTCTAACCGAGGAATCGAGAAATGATATCGAACCATGATCTTATTGATTGCCTGGCTATCTACGCACATACACCAGGAACTGTCCTTCTTTGGGACCAAAAGTGCCAGAACCGCACATGGACTTAAGCTCCTCCAAACCAACCCCCTCTGAAGAAAATCCTCCACCTGCCTCTTCAGTTCTTTGTGTTCAGCAGGGCTCATACGGTAATGCGGTCTATTCGGTAAAGAAGCCCCGGGCACCAAATCTATGTGATGTTGAATGTCCCGTAGAGGTGGGAGCCCCGAGGGAAGCGCATCGAGAAAGACATCAGCAAACTCTGAAAGTAGCGGCTGAATATATGCAGGTGGTCCCCATTCCGATGCAGTGTCTGACCCCACTATTAAAAGAACAAACGGTGCGACATGCATCTCGACCTCAAATGCCGCCCGAGAAAGTAAAAGGACCGTCGAAGGACTCGGTGGCAGCGTAGGACGCGAAGTACTCGGATGCAAGGTAATCTGAACACCTGCGAACGTGAAGTTGTAAGTGTTAAGTCGACCGTCAAGAGTGGTTGCCACGTCATATTTCCAAAGTCGACCGAGTAACAAGTGGCAAGCATCCATCGGAACCACACCACACCACACTTGGTTCCGGTATGTGACCCCAATAGACAACAAAACGAGAGCTCGTCGGTCAACCGTAATCGCACGGTCTCAGTGTATCCATGCTAACTTGTACGGGCGAGGATGTGGTTCACTTGAAAGACCCAATTTGTCCACTGCCTCCTGCGATATCACATTTTCGCTCGACCAAGGATCTATAATAAAGCGGCACACCTTGGTACCGATGGTGCAAGTCGACTCAAAAATTTGGTGTCGTGCTACGGGCTCATTAACGTTAGAGTGAGGAGTTAAGGACACCCGCCGAATGACGAGTGTTGTGCCCATGTCGCCGCTATGATGCTCCTCGCTCAGGCCTGGTTCAACATCAAATCTTAGAGGTCCGTAATAGTCTACATGCACATCGTGGTCCTCGATCTCCTCAACAAACAAACCACGAGAATTCTGGCCTTTTTGACACGCCGATTGATGATGCCCAATCTCGCCGCATCTAAAACACCGAATACCTGCTCCCGTCCATTTACCCGGGGCACCCGACTGAAGACCCACCA